CTGCATCTTTGCCTTGTCAAAGATACAAAATTCAGCAGTGTAAATAGTTAGATATGGTTACAATAAGCAATTCATATCATTCATCATTTTGAGTACAGAAACAACCTATCCTGGTAAATGAGTTAGGAATATGCAAGAGATAAAAGCAACAGAAAGCAGAAAATTATAAGAGTAGACCGGTCCTTATCAGAAAGCGAAATGTTAGTAAACAACTCTAAGAATAAAGAGATTTAAAAAGAAAAAACAAAAATTATTGACAAACTAACTAATGGTTAAAGTCAAAAATTACATAACCTAATCAAATAAACATATCAAAATCCAAGAGCAATTAAATTATAAAAACTCTAGGAATGAAGACATGAAGTCCTTGCCAGTACCCTTCACCAAATATTGGGGAAAAAAGTAGAATGAAGTTCTTGCCAGTACCCTTCACCAAATATTGGGGGAAAAAGTAGTTATCAGAGTACTAAACGCATCCTAACTAGCTAAGTGTACTACCACCAAAAGTCCATAAACAATCTGAGTCCTTACATGCATTCATCAAAACAAATCTAATTCCTTACATGCTGAGCACCACTACACGAAATGAACTTGCATCTATATTTTTTACACCTCCCACCAGCAATCTATAACAATGAAAGTAAAAGATCTAAATAAAGCCTGCAAAGTTGAAATATTGCAGCATAAAAAAAATTATCCAATTTATGTTGAAACAAACCCAATGAAAATGAATGCTTTTATTCAGTAGAAGCCCCTATAATTGATGATTGATTAAAATGAGATAAAAGAAATAGACGTCATGACCATCTGATTTACAAACCAACCTGGACAAATTCGAAAGGGAGAAATCCATCTCAGTTTTGACCAATGTGGCAATGAAAAATTATAGGAAAATAATAATTCATCCAATAATATTTAAAAATTAAGAAATCACAATTTGCAAAAGAGGAGTCATTAGAAATCCAGAGAATTAGCACAAGATTAAAGGAACCATGCTAAAACATTGATTTGATCACTATCTGATAATGTGGGATTTAACATCAAAGGTGTGTAGACAATTGCCTACCTTTCCCAGAAGGAGCTCAGCAAAATCACAACCAGCTGACCAAATGTCAATGGATGTTGTGTATCCAGTTGCACTAAATATGTGTTCAGGAGCCCTGTAGTAGCAAGAGCAAAATACCTTGTTTTCAGCCTAGTAAAGAATAAAAAGAAGATGGGGATAGAGCCCTGTTTCAGCCATGGGGAAGAAGAAAGAAAAAATAAATAAATACAAACCTGAACTGAGATCCATCCACTAAATACGGAGTTCTGTTGACAACTTCTGAGTCGAAGGTATTACCCCAATAACCCCTCCTTACTGGAATCACAGACAGTTTTGCCAGAATAATGTGCCACAAATAGCAGTTTCCATCATTGAGGAAGGTTGTTATTGTCACTAAGGCAATAGGGACCCACTTCTGATCTAAGCTTCTGATCTTCCTTCCTTAACCAGTCGCCCTATCTTGGTCACGACGGCCACCACCACGGCCTCTCCATGGCTACGATCGCCTCTACCTCCATGGCCAAAAGCCCCTACCAAAACCTCCTATTTTAGGGTTCAATCATTTTTTAGCTACAAAGGAAAAGATGAAGACGATGGGCCGAGGTAGATATGGATTGTTGGAACCACAAACATGGCAACTGCAACTATCACTAAGCAACCGAGAGTAGGAGAGATACAGATAGAGAACTGAGAGAGAGGAATTGAAGAGGGAGTCGCTTGCTCGACAGGAGAGAAAGAGGGGGCAGCAAAGAGGTAGGGAGGGGAGCATGGGAAACAAAACATGAAGAAGAAAAAGAAATGGGAGAAGTGAAATTCGGATACGTGTGTCTCATGCGATTGGATACATGCACGAGCTCCTTGCAGAGTTGCAGTGACCCGTTTAGCGCAAGGAGAAAAGACAGTTTCGTAATAAGTATATACTAGCAGAAAGGCCCCGTGCTACGGGCAAAGAAGATAAAGAAAAACATGGATACTACCCATGTAGGTGTTTGATGCTCAATACAAGACAAAATAAACCCAACCATTAATAGAGACAAAATCGTAGAACTGAACTGTTATAATAGGTTCGGCCAGTTTGGATCCATTTGGTAGACCTAGACCTATTCATGGGTCCGCTTGGGCTTTGTATATGTATCAACAGAATACAGGCCCGAGCCCCAGCCCAGCCTAACCATCAGGCCTAAGTCTTGAGTCAGAGCCCGACCCTCATATAAAGCCCGAAGTCTGGGCCCAAGCCCGAGATCGGCTAGAAAGGTTTTTCTTTTTTATTTAATAAAAAGTGTTTTATTTATATTAAAAACCATCAAAAACTCAAAAATAATAAACATCTCACTATTACTTGAAAAAAAAGAGAAGAAAAACAATGAAAAAATATTATATATATTTATTAAATAAAATATATTATTATTATTTAATATATAGTATCAAGTTGGGCTCAGGCTCGGACCAGGCTTTTTATAAGAAAGCCTGAACCCATCTCGAAAAAAAAAAAGTCGGGTTCGGTGCTTTAGGCCCAAGCTTGGCCCGAAAAGAAAGTCGAGCCCAATGCTTGAGGCATGAGCCCGATCCCATGGGCCTAAAATTATGACCAAGCTCGACTTAATAACGGGTTGCCGGGTATAGATCTAGGTAGATCCAACCCATTGATAACCCTAATCTAGTTACCTCTTTGCTAGTAATTATAGTTTGTTAGTAAATGATTCCTTTCTAACTAAATAAATAATTTAAAAAAAAAAAAAAAAAAAAGTACAAACAGGCCCAATGCAGATTTCTGGCCTCCACTGCAAAGCTATAAACATTCAAAATGTCAAAAACCCCCACTTTATACACAATGCTATGCTATGAATTGGCATCAATCTTTAGAAAAAATCCGTCACTCCGATAGCGAGAAGTGGATGTCGATAGACGACAGTGGGAGCCTGTTGTCCGTTGTTCAACCGATGGTCGCGGATTGTCTTTTGCAGCAAGTGCCCTTTATGCCGATTGACTCATCCGTAGTGCTTAGAAAGCTCGAGAACGACCAGTTGGCGACACGACGGCAGAGAAGTCAGGTCTGCTCGAAGTGGGAGGGGAATTAAGTCGTAGAGGAGGAGTTGGGGTTGGAGGTGGCGACGAAGATGGGAAAATAGTAGTTGTAGTGGAGGATGTAGGCGCAACTCGAATGGCGCTGCAATGGGCTATCCAGAACTTGCTCCGCTACGGTAGATATAGAAGATACTACATTACAGATGTTGGAATTGGAAAGGTGTGATAAAAGGAACAACGTTAATTGTTTGACCAATCACAACACCTTGCTCGAGTTTGTTGAATACCAGCTGATTCGTTGCGGGATTGCAGCCGATTGGTCATTAGTTTTCTACGTATCATGCTTTTCTAGTACCATAATCGGCCTCCATGCCTCGAAACGTTTTCTCTTTTTCACAGATTTCGACTTATCGTTAACAAGAATTCTGAATTCTTTTTGAAGGGTACTGTGTCGAACGCAGGGGTGTCCGTACGGGCAGGCAAGTTTCTTGTTTTCTTGGTGTTTGAATTTGCAAGGACAAATTCATAATCATTGTTGTAAGTTAAAGACCAGAAGCTCACCTATTACTAATTTATCTCCTGCAAAGACAAATTCATAATCATTGTTCCTAACCACCACCTTTCAAACGTCTCTTGCTATTGCTTCCTTAAGAAGAGTGGCCCACATCATAGGCACGTGTAATCCTGCTCTGTAAAATTGTAAATCCCATCCATTTTCTAAGACAGTATGTACTGTATGTACTCTTAATTAAGCTTGAGTGTTTCCAGTGTCCATTAATGGAGATTAGTAAGAAGCTAGAGTTATGATCAGAAACAGAGCCAGGTAATACCCATTCACGAACTAAATTAAAACGGGAAAAAAGGGAGGGAAAGACGATTACCAAAATCATTTACTTTCAGATAACAAGAATCGACTTCTCTCTGATCTCTCTAATGGCGAACAAATAAAAGTTACGGAGAAAAAGAGCTCCTCAGTCCCCCTTGGCCCCCCAAACATAAACATAGAAAGAAGGTAAAAGTTGAAGTTCAGGGGATCAGAACCTTCTCTCAGAATATCTAACACGTTATTGCCTAGTGCTTTTGTCCTGGTTTCTCGAATCAGAACCACAATCTGACAGCAATAATGGCCATTACGAAGAAAAATGCTGGACTCCGAGCACTACATTCACATACGAACCCTATCAGTTTTGCCCCCATTTGTTTTCTCTTCTTTCTTATTTATTCTGATTTTAAGACTGAAAACGAGAAAATCACGACCATTCGGCTCTGAAGATGGGAGCATTGGTAATTTTGGAAAAAAATTCATGGAACTTCTTAGAGGGAAGAAAAACAGAATGGAAGAAATGAATACTAACTAACCAGATAACCTCGAAAAGCTACTTGAATCTTAACAGCAACCAACACTTCTCTCTTCCCACTGTTGCTGCTAACGTACGCGGTGGCGCACCGCCCATTATTCGTCAATTTCACAACCGCCACAGCGGACTGGGCTGCAGCTACTACAGCCTCAGCCACGACAGCAATTACTCGGCAATGGCTATCGCATGTTTGTTCTGTTCAACAACATCCACGTAGGAACACGAAGCTCCTTCCCTGTATGACCCCTTTCTTTCTTCCCCATTCACAGTCGCTCACCGTCCACGTCCCAACATGAAGCACCTTCCTTTCTTCCCCATTCACAATAGCTGGCACAACACGCTCTTCGTCCCTAAAAGATCTGACAAAATTCCACTTCTCCTTCTCCGGCTTTCCCCCTAACACACCGGCCCCAGCCGGCGGCTCTTCTTTCTTTCCCCCTAACAGTCCTTGAAACCACTGGGCAGTCTTCCCCATTTTTTTTTTTTTTGATCAATAGCAGTCTTCCCCATTTTCACTATCTAACATCCGCCAGTGGTTTTTCTTTTTTTTGTTTAATATTCATCAAAGATAAATTCATACCTCAAAACTGCAATACCAATATATTATACAAATTCTCGAGTAAATTCAGGCGGATATAAAATCAGGTAAAAGTAAAACAACTTGCTAACAATTTAGGGTATTGTGTAGAAAGACAGACTAATGGAAGAGCGAGAATCCCATGTCGTCATCACTCTCTTCCTCTTCCTTCTTCTCCTCGGATGGAGGTGCCTCAGCAGCTGTAGCACCGCCTCCAGAACCTCCAGCAGCAGCTCCACCTCCAATGAAAGCACCACCACCTCCGCCACCAATAATCACCTGAAAGACAGTAGAGGATGGAGTGATCAAGGAGAAGGAAGACTGAACCCCGCCAGAAAAGAGTTGCTCGCGAGAGCAGCTTGAACAAGTTTTCTCTGCAACTCATAAGTTGATGCAGCCGAGGCTTCAAGGTCACCGGAAAGCTACTTTGCGTTCCATTCGGCGTCGGAGCTTCTGCAAATGAAAGTGAAGACTCCCAGGGAATAGAACTCATAGGGGAATAAAATAAAATGTCCACCAACTTTCTCTGCATATCTTCAAAGAGATGCCATTGAAAACTTCATTATTTACCACACACAAGTTGCAATGTTGCATAAATAAAAAAAATATAGGCAATCACATCATCAAGAGATCACCTTGTTCTCAAACATGTGATTGTTCCTTTCCACCCAGACATCACACACAACAGCATGAGAAACTGTGGCACATCCCCTCTTTCCAAGTCTTTACTTTGTCATTGCCAAATAAGATCTATAATATGCTCAAACATGGTCCAACTATAACCAACAAGGTTGAGGAAATGGTGCTAAGTTCCCTGATTTCCAGTCAGTGAAGAAGGATGTGCTCTGCCAATTCCCCATCCCCAAGGCACAAAGTACAAGCACGAGGAGAGACGTATAACCTGCATCAATTCTTCTTTTGCACCAAACCACATGTATTTATTTTTCTAAGCCTAGCTTCCAAAAAAAATTGAGTCTAGGAGGAATGTGAGACCACCAAATCTTCTTATAAGGAAAAGGAGGGCCAAAGCAGTAAATTTTTTATATTTGGAGCTAAATAACTTTATGAGATTTAGGTAAGCAATTAACTTCTTACAATAGAATGAAGCTTAATTTGATGACATTTAGGGCAGTCAATGGATTGGATCTGATCTAATCTGATAGGAACCAATAATTCCAATCAAAATCCAAATTATGGAAATCCAAACCATTTGCTTTTGCAATAATAAAATGGATATTGAACCAATCCAAATTAATGTATGTCCATATTAATTTTTTTTTTCTTTTTTGAACAATATACCTTGAAAGTTGAGTTAGCTTGAGCATCACCATATGATCAAAAAATGAAGCATCATCATATTACCAATTAAATGAATGTTGCACATATTTCCTCTTATTGAACATGCTATTTATCTTATATTTCATATGTAAGGAAATACTTGTAAAGAAAAACTTTTATTTTTAGGTATCTAGCTGATCTTGCTAACTCGCATCTCTTAGCCCAACTCCTAACTCACATAATGCCTAGTTATTTTGATAAAATGTCGGCCTATGGGAAGCTAGGCAACTATAAAATAAAATGGCTATAGTTTCAATGGTTACCAATGCATGTCATCTTTGTAAATTAAGAAGCCAGATGTAAAATTTGTCAATCAGAAGTTGGAAGGTCCATCTCAAATGCAACTACACAAAGGGTAAAAATAGAAACCACTTTACAAATGCCTATTTAACACATTGAAACTGTGGATAGAATTAATATGTGAGAACAGACTTACCATGGTAAGGATGCATGTATATAAAACCACTTATCATGCCACATAAGTAATACTATTGAGCATAAGATTAAATTCCTGAAAGAAAGCAATGCCCAAAGTAAGAAAAAAATGAAGTCACTCGCAAATGTAACAATTTCCAAACTCAGAAATTATAAAGCTATTTTATAAAAAAAAAAATCATATAGAAAATATAGCAAATGCTAGCATGTATGCTAAATGAAAGCAAAGAGGAATACTACCTGTCATGAGCTCGGACCTCCAAATGCAAAGAAACATTCTTTCCAGGCCTATGATAATCAGCTTAACTCTTCTGAAGCATTTTATCAATCGTTGTCAGAATATGCAATATCTTGCTGCTATGGCAGAAACCTCGGCTACAGAATGCCCTGATTATTGAATCATACACTGCAATATTTGGAACCACACCCTGATCTAGCATTCTGTCCAGCAACTGCAATCCTTCTCCTATCTGACCATTTTTCATATATCCATCAATTAGAATAGAGTATGAAACCACATCAGGTTGGAAACCCTTCTTGAGACACTTGTCAAAATGATATCTTGTCATTTCATATTGTCCTTTTCTACAGAGCATCCCAATCCAGATGCTGTTAGCTGACATAGCAGTATCAATCTTGTCTTTAGTTGTCATTCTAGAAAGTAAGTATTCAGCTTCAACTATGTTTCTTGCACTGTAAAGCCCATGTGATTTGCTCTCAACCATATGTTTTGCTCTCCTCAATTTTCCAACTTTGCAGAGACTGCGAATCACAATGTTATATGTCCTAGTGTTAGGCGAAACCCCCTTATTTAACATGTTAGTCAAGAGTGGAAAAATGCTTAACCATTGACCAACTTTATAGAAACCAGTCATCACAGTATTATAATTTACAGAACTCACATCCCATCCCAAGTCATGGCACAAGTCTAAGAGATTCTTTGCCTCACAAACCTTTAAATTATAGCAGAGGCAATCAAGAATGATATTAAGAGTCTGAGTGGTGAGATATAATCCATCATGCACCATGCTTTCTAATTTTCTAAAAGCTTCCTCGACTCTACCTACTTTACAAAGACCATTCAAATAAATATTATAACTGACAGCATTTGGCTTCCACCCCTTCGATTTGTTTTCCTCAAAGATTGACTCAACCTCACCAAAATTCCCAAACTTGCAAAGCGCATCAATCAAGATATTGTAAGTTTCAGTATTTGGAGGGCAACCATTATTCCACATGGTCTCAATCAAATCTTTAGCATTTTGAATTTCTCCTTTCTTGCATAGACCTTGCAAAAGAGGAGTATAAGTATAAACATTAGGAAGCACATTGTTGGCAAGCATCCTATCTAACACAGCATAGGCATCCTGATGTCTTCCAGCCCTAGAAAGACCAGTTATCAATGTCGAGTAAGTAATCACATCTGGACTACACCCATGTTCAGACATCTTCTTTAAGACCTCAAAAGCCACCTTAAACTGAAAAGAATGGCAAGAGTATGCTTTTACCAAGATGTTGAACGTGGATACATTTGGAACTATACCACCATAGTCCATCTCCGCCAACACAGCATCAATGTCATCAAAGCGATTGGCCACTGCAAGGCAATTGAGAACAGTGTTATAGCATAGAACATTGGAATGGCATTGTGCTTCTTTCATATCACGCAAGAGTCGAAGAACTTCATCGACATTACCGGCCCGACTGAAGACCTTCATCAACCTGTTATATTCAGCTGGGTGGGAAGGAACAGGTCTAGCACCAATTTTTGGCTTGGCAAGGATTGCATTTCGAGCATGGCCAACTTTTGAGGTCTTCCAAACAACCTCAATAACTCTAGTACCAAAATCTTTTTCTCTGCGGTTTAGTGGTGCATGGGATTTACAAGTCTCCACGCTTTCATCATCATTTGTTCCTACTGATGATGCACTAGAAACCCCAATCCTAACCCTATCGACACTGTCGAGAAACTGTCTAACCCCCTTCGAAAGAAAAAAGGGCTGATCTTGAGCATTCTCTTCTTCCGCCCAAGTGGGATGGATCTCAGCAACAGCCACATTAACTAAGCTTCGAATATTTAAGCTCCAACTTCTCCCGTGGTTGATCTGGGGGAAGACGAGGAGTCTATTGAAGGTCGCCAACAGAAAAATCTTCTTGGGCTCTAAATTTAAAATGAAGGGTGAGATGGAGTGAGACAAATAGAAGAAAGGGATAATACCTCAGAGAGAATAACATTGGATTGGATAATGATACCTTGATTCCAAAACAATTGAGCTTGCTTCCTCTTAATTAGAGCGGATTTAGAGTGGTTGCAGAGTAAGGAGCTTGAACAAGCACAGAATGGCTCTCCCAGCTTCTTCTTTTGGGTGAGCCTCACCCTCCTTCCTGTAACATATCGGATGATGCATTAGTGTTCACTGTTAAGTTCTTTAGTAGGCCTGCAGACAGATAGAATCAAATTCCAATTGAGGTATATCCAATTCTATTGGATAAGAATTCGAAGGATTTTCCAAATTGAGATTGGAATACGATTTGTTAACATTGTCGGATATCCCATTACAATCCGATTGTTGTGGAAACATACCTATGGAGATTTTGTCAAAACTTGAAACAGAACTAATTCATTCTCATACAAAAAAAAAAGAAAACTAATTTAACTGACCAAATGAAAACTAATTCAATCAACTATTGGGCAGTGAAGTGAACAGAATCTCTTTCAGGAAAAAATGAGGGGCATTGGTAAAATCGGCTCCGTATGAGGGAACTCAATCAGGTTTCCATCATTCCATGGGCTTCAAAGTTCAAAATAAACTTACTTGGCTACACCGCTACAGGCTACTTCGGTGTTAGGCCGTTGGCGGCAGCATTCTTGGATTGTGAAAAATAGATTTCATCTTCACATTTCCGGCTTACAGTAGCAACAGACTCTTATCGAATACAAATGGAGATGAGAAAGAGGGATGCGATGAGATGTGAAAGGTAAAATCAAAGGAGATGAGTAGACTGGAGTTAGGGTTTCAGCCATGATGTTTCTGGGTTCCTACTCTCACAAGTATGTGAACTAAGAACAACGAAGTACCGAGAGGGGGTGATCATGGGCCGGGCCAGGCCGGGTTTGGGACCAAATGAGAACAGCTATACCCACTCGGGTCAGTAGTTTGTAGACTAAATCAACGGTTTTTGGCCAAAAAGCAGTTTTAGGGTTAAACAAAACCAGTTAGGTGACCGGTTACTGGTTTGTTGCTCCCCATTTATGTACATGATCCGACGGCCCAGATCAATCGAGGCCCACCGACCAAGGACACGTGGTACATTCACTCTTATATACATAGGAAGCATAATTATTTTACATGGATCAATCAAATTTAGCAAGGCGATGAAGATTAAAGAATTGGGCGGTGATGATAGGATTCAATGACACCATTCCCCAAAAAGAAACCCCACTTTCTGATTATTTTATTTAAAAAACCAAAAGAAATGAAAAATCTGACCAAATGCTGCATAGGACACGTGAGTATGATATGCATTGCATCCATTTTTGCCATGTGGAGGGTGATTTGGCCAATCTAAAGCTTTGTGGGCCCCTTTTTCTTAATCAACTCTTTTGGCCTTTTGGGTGGTAATGGCCGTTGAAAATTTGAGAAACCGACAGAAACGGGTGTGTCATCTTTTATGCAATGGGGTAGAAGAAAGATATGGAATTGGGGCCATCGTTCTGGATGTGCTGCCACGTGTAAGATTCTTGATGCCTTAGAGGTGTCTGCTAGGTGAGTGATATACAAAATCTAAACCCCACTTAGAGTTTCATGAGTTAAAAGATTCTATCCGTCGTAATCAGGAGCTTCGTAGGCTAGGCAGAATATGCAGACCTGGAGAGTTGGATCTTGGGAGAAATGAACAGTGAATTTCAGCTTTATTAAAACCATATGATATTCACATTTCACAAATAGAAATGAACAGGTAATTCGGTATACTTAAAGAGGTAGCCAAACCCATTATTCTCTTTTGGCACTTGTCCTTCAGGCTTCAGCCCATTCCCAAAAAACATGTATGAACATGAGGATCAACAACCAAGAAAATATAATATAATCTAACCAAGAATAACAAAAATATCATGTGTTGTACAAAGGGAGGTAATATGGCAATACAAACAATGAATCCAAGAATTTTGAAACATATTCCCTAATCTTAATTGCATAGGAGATCCAAACCATACCACCGATGCAAAAGGAATTTGGGGATTGTGTGACAGTGGCCTCCTAACTCCTAATGGAAATTGAGTCTCCATTAGTTAGGACTTGCTTAAATTTGTATCTTCAAAAGCTAACATTGTTTTACAACCTTTATACCCACATAGATAGGATTTAACAAAATTCTATCTCCTAACCCCCATTACTTCTTTGTTGATTGTATCAAACTCAAAATCCAAAATATGATGACAAGTTTCTCCAAAAACCAAAAATATGAACCAAAAGAGAAAAGATCAAGAGATCATCCTAAGTGGAACAGTAAAATACACCATTTACTTTAATTGTTAGGGAGGATTTCAGATAAATCAAAATGAAGAGAAGGGGCAAATTTTAACAAGATAGCCACATTCTTATCCATTTATGAAATTACTCAACATATGAACTATACCAGTCATGGTTCCACTTGAGAATATTTGATGCCAACAGGCACTGCCTCTCCTGCACAAAAATGGTCCATGCAGTGGGTTTAAGAAATGGAAAAATGGTGAATTAGAAAATAAAACCTAGCTGCTTTAAATTAAAAGAGAGAGAGAGAGAGAGAGATGGAAGGAAGGAACAGGGTTTGAAAGTAGCTTTAGTAGAAGAAAAGCAAGAAAAATACCTGTAAGAAATGCAACCTTGTTAATCATGCTTTAGTGTTTCTTCAATCCACTATGCATCCACTCCTGGTTTGTTGAAGGAAAGGAAAAACAGGTAACATGAATGAATCTTGTATCCATTGAATATAAATAAATACTTGCTTTGGTTTAGTACAAACAAAAAAGAATAAGATTCTAATCCCTGCAAAAGATTCACGGATGGTCTCCAAAGGTAAATATGACTTCATAATTTAAAATGAATAAAACAATCCTTCCTAAACTAAAATTTGTCGTGATTAATTCCATAAAAATGATCCAATCCTTCATAATCTGAAAACTGTTTTGCACAATTCTATAGAAATGAACCACATTTTTAGCCATTTAGTTTTATCTCACCCATGGAATCAAGTGCAAATTTATAGAATAAGTAGAAGTTAATTTCCCTCTTATGTAAGCTTTCAATACAAATTTTTTTAAAATCTGTAAAAGTTCATTTCTTTAAAGCACAATTTCAAGCACCCTTACCATTAATTAGGCAACACTTTTAGCCATTCAATTTTGCATCTCACCCATGGAAGATCCTGGGGTCCATTTTTCTCGGTGATATTCAGGTAACAAACCTATAAATCCTAATTTTTTTCATGTGCAAATTAGAAAAAGGTCATTATCTAGTAAAAAAGACAAGAAGTAAGATGCAAGAATGAGAAGAACATAGCATATTAGAGAGAAGAAAATAAAAGAAAAAGTGTACACAAACTTGAAACTTTTGAATAAAATACTATTAGATGGTTATTATCTAGTAAAAAGACAAGAAGTAAGATGCAAGAATGAGAAGAACATAAGAGATTAAAGAGAAGAAAATAAAAGAAAAAGTGCACACAAACTTGCAACTTAAACCAACCTTTCACTGTTACTCTTTGGTTGTAGCTGGGAAGCAATACATTTTCTTACAAACTTTAGGGCCAAGAGAACCGTTTAGAAACATTGCAATTCATACTAATTAGGAATTGCATCATCATTTTTGAGGTTGTTATAGGGCCACTAAACTAAATTGATAAAACCTACCAAGCTCTAGCAATTAATTGCCTCCAAGACACTTTGCCTTTAAGCAAGAAGAAAATAATAATAATATATGTGAGCATCATAAAAACCGGCTCACTTTGCCACTTGGGCTGGAAATGGAGTTGCCACCCATCAAATTGGAAAATGGAGATAATGGGACCTCCGAGAATGATTTTTAAAACAGTTTTGACTCAATAGTGACTCCCGCAGCCCAAGGCACTGGTCCATCCAGTCCGGGGCAGGTCTCGGAGGGGAAAGAGAAGGGATTAAGCACCCCTCTCCCGGGTCCAAAGGTGGGGCCCACATGGGTGCTGAGAACAAGTATATACAGACTATATATAAAAAAACTAAAGGCAAGCAAACCTAAAGAGAAGCATCCAACCGATTATCACAATAGAAAGAGAAAAAACATAACAGTTACTTCACATGCTGAATACACCAGAAACAATTCCCTGATTAGAGATAATGAAAAGGATGCATTGTCATATAGAATCAGAATAAAAACAGAAAATAATAATAAAATAGAATAAAATAAAACAAAAAAATAAAGGACAAAGAAACAAAAAGAACAATGGAGTAGAAAATAAAACAAACACTGACTTTCTATTCAGCATCCACTTCTTAGCATAAAATTAAAACTATCTATGCCGAATTAAAACTGCTTGCAAAATTGCTATCCATAGTCTGGTGAAATACATCAAAGAAGAGGGCGGTTTGGCAAGAAAAGTAAGCTACAGACATACTGATAGTTTGGCAAAATTCATCATATAAGATTTAAACACAACCATACCAACACAGTAACATAGAACACCTGAAATTAAGATTTATACTAAGATAATCAGAGATAAATTCCAAAAATGAAATTAACGAAGGAGAGTACGAATATAACTAAAAAAAAAAGGAAAGATTCATGCGAGGAAGAGATTAGCATTGCGGGGAAACAGATAAGCAGTCCGGCATCACAGAGAAGAACAGACAACCATGTTCAAAGCTAATAATCGAACTGGGAAGGATTCGGAAGGTTACATGAGCTTACAGGGTATCGGCTCTTCGCCTTCCTCATCCCATCAATCATAAATGGAAAATCAGAGAAACGGTCGAGAAGAGGTTACCTGATTGCGCAGGTTCCCAGGACGTCGCCGGATACTGCAAAGGTTGGCCGAACTTCGATAGGAATAAGATTGGTCAACTTCAGGATCTCACAGAGTCCCGGATTGTCTGGCGTAATCAGGCACCGATGCTGCACAGGAGTGTTCGTTCCAAGCAGGAGTTAGCTCTGCAACTCCTCTCTTTCGCGTTGGAAGTGGTACGGGTGACAGTAAGAGCAGGGATCCGAAAGATGGGGAAACAAGACTTAATGGTATTGTATTTCCTAAACAGGTAAGCTGGAAAAGGAAAGAAGGGGGGTGGTTCGATGGTGGAAGGGACCTTCGTTGCTTGCTGCGCCTCCAGTTCGAATGGAAAAGAACATGGGGAGAAAGCGGTGAACGGAGAAGAGAGAAAGAAGAGAGAGAGGGAAGAAGCGAAAACTGTGGAAAGAAAGGATGAAGAAGAGAGGGAATCGAGCAAAAACGCAAGGAAGCAAGGTCAGCCGCTGGAGCATCTTTTGTTTTTAGAAGAGATGGGGCTATTTCGTAATTTATGTGAAAATGGGGGGTGTTTTAGTAATTTTAGCAGGTTGGGTTAAACTGGGTCTACGAGGGTCGATGAAGATTAGACCAGGGTTTTCAGATGAATGGGTAAGATTTTGGGTCAAAATGGAGGGTTGAGATGGGTCTGACCGTAGATGAGGGGTTCTATAGGTGAGGGCTAGTGAAATTAGCTGAAACGAAATCTTCTTGGAGGAAGAGATAAACGGGGGTAGTTTTGAATGAAATTTCATGGGACCGGGTTTCTGGACATTCCAAGTTGATTGGTAGGGTTGGATTGGCCCAACTGGGCCTGAATTGGGAGGATAAGGAGAGGGCTTGATTCGATTAATTTGAAGGCTCAAAATGGAATCTTTGTGTGATGAAGGGGCAAAAAAAGGCAATTTTGGGTGAAATTTCATAGAATATGATTTTTTGGTAGTCTGGAGTGATTGGTAGGGTTAGATTCAGTCAATTAGGCCCGGATCGGGCAGGTTTGTAATCTGATCGATTTGGAACCTTGAAACGGAATCTTAGTATGATTAAGGGTGAATGGAGGTGTTTTGGGTTGGAATTTCATATGTAGGGGTTTTTTGGTATCATGGGGTGATTGGAAAAGTTTGATTGGTCTATATGTGTTTGGATCAAGTAGATATATGGGTTGTGGGTGCGAGAATGGTTGAAATGGAATATTTGTTTGATGGACAGGTGAACGAAGGAATATTGAGTTCAAATTTCAGGTGTAAGTGTTTTAGGATGTTTTGGATCGGATGGTTGTGTCTGATCTAATGGTTGAGGTGTAAGTGAGGGCCGATTGGGGATATCAATTAGGTATTGGGTAGGTTTAATGGTGGATCTGAGGGCTCTCAAGGGAAATTTAGGTTTTTTTTTTTTGGTTTTTGGGTGTTTTAGAGAGGTTGGAATGGTCTGATCGGGTGTTTGAGGTGAATTGATGGCTCAGGCGATGGACCGAACAAAAATTAGGTGTTAAAAATATAATAAAAAATAGATATAAAATTTTGTGCACCATCCAAGTTCACATTCACATTCTCATCTTGTGGCTTTGGCTGGAGAAGCACCTAAAACAATAGGTTCTGGAGCTGTAAGTTTCCATGAAAGATGCCATGCTTGAAAACCTAGGCGTTGTTAGTATCATGGCTTTGCAATCTAATGACTACACTTGGTGATGAAGGGAAATTTGGCCCGACCTCGCGATCACCCGACACGTGGCAAAGGCAAGCAGCTTGGGACAGTAGAGCGCCCAGCGAACATCAGAAGGAAGTCTAAGCTCACTACCAAGCCCGAACTCCAGACCGCTGTACTTAGTCCGAGCTCCTTGTTAAGAGCGAGCTCCCTGTTAAAGGTCCGAGCTCCCTACTAGGAGCCC